TTCTGGTTCCGAAAATGCCTAATTGTGGGATTCCATTCCACTGATCCATGCTATGAGTCTCCTTCAAGGTCGAATCCACCACGCTGACAAGTCCCAGAAGCCGCCGGTGGTCTGTGATTCCCAATCACCTCCACCTTACGGTTAAGCTCGTAAACCAGATGATTCAAAGTTCCTACAGCCTGAACCAGTCCTTCACACTGACTCGGAAGCTTTTCCGTGGCCGAAACTGCTCCCGCTGTCTTCTTCAAAAGTCGATAAAACAGAGCCTCGCCGATGCCAAAAAGCAGAGTCCCTGCTATCATAAGTCCAAATATGTAAACGTCTTCAACATCCTCCTGAGACAGGACTGTAATGCACATCAACTGCCACACTCCCCACGAATCCATGACGTACCCCACAGCGTGAGTCTTAGCTGGACACGCCGGTTCTCCAGGACCTTGTCGCTTTGATGAAAAAAAATATTATCAATAGAGTTGAACGCCCACGATACCAAATCCATAATCTTCTTAATTTATGTTCAGGAGATGAGACCCAGGCACTTCAGACACACAGAGATCAGAGCAGGAGGAAGGAAAAACGTGGGAGGAAAGACATAAGCAGCCACCTCAATCAGAGCCAGGGAGGAAAAAAAAAAGTCAAAATATGATGTTTTAGGTCATATTGATGCAGAAATGTAGACAATTATAAAGGCTTCACAAACTTTCAAGCACCACCACCATAACAAAGTTGTCAAGTCCTCCTGTACACCAGTGTTTTTTTTTTAATTATTTATTTCTTATTCTTTGTGAGTTCACTAAATCGCAGACTTGTTTGTAGTCTGTCTGAGTACATGGAGGATCATTTAGATCTCAAATCCATGGGTTCTGATTCAGTGTGAGTATTCAGATTTTTATGTTGAGTGAGTTAGTGAATGTTCTTGCCAAGAGCAGGTACAGTCTAAGCTGTGGGTGAGGACAGAGCAAGCAAACCAGTTTTATTGTTATCAGTAGTAATAGTATTTAATATGCTTTGCTATGCATCTAATTTAATGTGGGATTTGTCACATAAAATATAGTTTTATTCTTCCCCATTGGTGGCGCCCTTAGCAGTTGCCTATACTGCCTATGCCAGGGGTGTCCAAACTTTTTCATATGTGGGCCAAAACTATCCAGATGAAAGGACACAAGGGCCACACAATGTGAATTTAACTTTCAACGTGAACAATATTTTGGAGAAAGACCACAAGTTTACTAATTTAGGTGGAGAACGAGTTTAAAATTGTTGTAGATCTAAAACAGTAAAAGCCTCTTAAACACTAATCTTATATATTTTATTTAAAAAAAAAGATTTATTTCATTTGTTGGGTCTATGCTTGTTGTTTTCTTGTGTTTGAAAAGTGCATTTTAGTCTGTTCTTAACAACGAAAGCATAATATGAGTAAGTGTCCTTTTAAAAAGGGGGTTATTCAGCCTTTTGGACCATGGGCGGCTCAAAAGGTCTCACTTGTAAATGAGTCTTTGAGGCTCAATGTGACTCATCTGTTTAAATAAAGGTTGAATGAAAAAAGGCTGATCAAAGTTCTGAAAAATCATCCAGCTGTCAGTCGCTACAACAGAGAAGGTTTGATAAAATTGATCAATTCGTATCTAGATGATACCACACAATATTTATTTAAATATGTCCAATTTCCCTCTTGATTATTTTATCAACTGCAATATTTAGACACGTTTCATGAATCGCTGGGAGGCAGCAGCTCTACCAGTTGTGCCACCGTGCTGCCCATGCTTTGTACCATGATGTGAAAATAAAATGGTTACAGTAGTCCCTCACTATTTCGCGGTTCATTTATCGCAGACTCTCTCTATTGTGGTTTTTCAAAATAAGATTGGACATGACACACAACCGCCTGATTGATGGATGAGCCGCACAATGGGCATGGATGTCTGGGTTTCAGGCAGGTCAGGGCAGGAGTGAACCCAGTTGAGCAGGGAAAGAGTCAGGACTCAATGATTACAAAAATAAATACTCTTTAATAATAAATCAAAAAGGCTGACATGGCAGCAACTTACAAAAACAGGGAACAAGGAACAGATCAGGCTGGCAGGACAGGACAAGACCCAACAAGACAAAGGACAAGACTCACTGACAGGCTTAAATACACAGACAAGACAGGACTTGATTATAAACAGCTGAGAACTCAAGGTGAACTCAATCAGGATTAAATGACAAGGGTGCACAGATAGAGAAAGCCCACAAGATGGCGCCATCCCTACAGTACAGCCCCCCGGACCTCAAGGATGCCCCCTGGCATCCCCAAAAAAGCCCCCCCAAAAGACTTGGGTGGGTGGGTGGAGGGAGGAACTGCAAGAGTGGAGGACCCAAGACAAAACATGACAAACACAAACTGACTAAGCAAAACCAGGGACCTAACTCGACACAAACAGGGGAACATAAAAGTCTGGGCAGTCAGGAGACCGTCCATCAGGCCAGAGTAGGTCAAGCGGGCGGCCAGGAGACCGTCCGTCAGGCTGGAGCAAGTCGGGCGGGCGGCTGGGAGGCCGTCCAGGCAGGATCAGGACAGATGGGTTGCCGGGAGACCATTCATCAGGGCAGGGCCAACAGGGCAGGTGGTTGAGAGGTCATCCAACGGGCCATTCAGACTGATCAGACAGGTGGCCGGGAGGCCTTTCAGGCAGGAACAGGAAAGACGGGTGGCCGGGAGACCATTCATCAGGCCAGGGCCGGTCAGGCAGGCGGTCGAGAGGTCATCCCACAGGCTATTTAGACGAGGACAGGTCAGACTGGCGGCCGGGGGTGGGGCGTTCAGGCAGGAACAGTACAGACAGGTTCTTAGGCAGGTCGGGGACGAGGGTCTCAGGCAGGTCAGGAACGAAGGCCTCAGGCAGGTCGGGGAAGAAGGCCTCAGGTGAGCCGGGGACGAAGACCTCAGGCAGACCAGGATCTTCTGCGGTTGACTCAGGTTCTTCTGCGGTCAGGAGTGAAGACTTCAGACGGACCAGGGGTGAAGATCTCAGACGAGCCATGGACGAAGACCTCAGGTGAGCCGGGGACGAAGACCTCAGGCGGACAAGACGTGGTTCAGGTCCAGGTCCGGGCCGAGAGAGAGGAGCTGAGCATGAAGTTGGTGAAAGTGTGTCTGAGTCTGTGGGTTCAGAACGGGCTGGATCCTCGCACTGCATGTGTAACGTAGAGGCTGCAGGAGATGGGGAAACTACAGGGACTGTGGTAAGCCAGGAGGCGACCACAGGGGCTGCAGCTACGAGTATCTCAGGAGTCGGGGAGTCCAGGACTGGTTCAGAGACAGAGTGGTGTTTGGGTGAAGGACTAGGACTGGCAGTGTAGGGGTGGATGAGCAGTGTCAGCCAATATCCTGATGCATGCTCAATAATCCATGTAGAAAAATCCAAAAAAGTTCAATCTGGTCCTCTGGACATTCAAAAAAAACCAAAAACAAAACAAAGCAAAAAAATGTAGAAACGTTTCGTCTTTCATCCGAGAGACTTCCTCAGTCTGAGGTGCTGTATTCAGCTCAGTCTCTTAAATAGCACCTTCTCAGAGTGGATCAACCAGTTTGCTGCTGACAACCAAAACCAGCTGATCACATGGTCAAGAAGGACCATCAGCCTAACAATGGATCATTAGCACACTGATGGCTGTTTACTATTCACAGAGTGAATACTAGCAATCACAGCATTGTAAGAGGGGGACAGTTGAACCTGGAGGCCTCCGCCCCTGTTTAATGATGGATGATTTCTTTTCACAAAGATGGCCTCCTTTACTCCTCTCTCAAACCATCGTTCCTCTCTGTCCAGGATGTGAACATCTTCATCCCTGAAAGAGTGACCGCTGGCCTGGAGATGAGTGTAGACTGCAGAGTCCTGGCCTGATGATGTTGACCTTCTGTGCTGGGCCATCCTTTTGGCCAGTGGCTGTTTAGTTTCCCCGACGTAAGACTGATCACCCTCCTGACACTGAGAGACAAACAGAGTAATATTGTGTATGCTGTTCAGTGTCAGGAGGGTGATCAGTCTTACATCGGTCAGTTGGAAGGTTCTGGGACATGTGGCGGCCCTTTTCGGTATATGTTGAAAACATGTCAGTACTGATTTAATTTGTTTATATGTGTTTGACTGATCTGGGTGGGGGGTGGGGGTGTTGTTCTTTGTTCTTTTTCATGTTTTAAAACTAAAAATTTAAATTAAAAGACCCTGTTTAAAAAACAAGGACACAGATTGTGTTGTAAAGAGCTTTGAGTATCTTGATAAGACAGGAAGGAGAAATATCAGTACAGTCCATTTAGCATTTATATTGTCCAGCTCCTCTCATGCAGAGTTTCACACCAGGATAATCTTATGATAAGAAAACATGGAGATATAGATATTTTGGTTAAACCTTGTAAATGCTGTTATGCAAAATCTCATGTGAGATGGTATGTAATCTGTTAGCACTCAGAGTACAGTATGTTTTTAATGATGCTCAGCTACTACCACACCAATCTCATGAACACTGAGTTATAGCCAGTTTTCTGTTATATAAGACATGCCATCACCGCTCATGTGTTAGCAGCGGGTTGTAAAGGTCCGTGTGTCAGTCCTGCTTTGTTGCATCTTCTATCCATATCCTGAGAAGTATGCTCTAAGCATTAGTGACACTTTTTTAATCACTGAAAGTGTGGATTGACAAAACGTTGCTGCAGATTGTTTTGTATCTGCTGCGGTGAGTAGTTCCTGAGGAAGCTCCTGTGCACAGGTCACATTTGAACTTAGCTCCAGAACATGACTGATTCTGAAACCAGGAGCTGAAAGAAACTTCTGCGAGACATTGATCTGCATCTGTTCTCTCACTCCTACTCATTTCATCAAATTGGCGTGACCTATTGCTGCTGGCATCATTCAGAAATGCTAAGGGCCCCCACCACCTCAACCCGAAGGTATAAATACAGCAGGAAGACTCAGAACCAGCAATTAGCCCGATCCGCACCGTGTGACCATCACATTGGACCGGACCTCTGGCAACATGAATGTAAGTAAACTTCACAAAGATTATTTGATTGTCCAAATGCTGAGTCAGCGTTCCTGCTGTCATTTTCCTGTTTCAGCATCTAACTAATATTTTAACTAGTTGAAATGCTTTTGATGTTGTTGCTTTTTTATTTTTAAAACCATTTAACTTGGTTTAAAGCATCCTGGTAAAAATGGATTAAGATCTCTTCAAGTCTGTCCAAAACTGTTAACTTTCTGAAACATCTTCAAAACACTTGATAGTTTTTGTCTTTTTGTGTCTCATTTTGTTCTTTGTTTTAATTTTTCCTTATGTTTCTATGCTTTGTCTTTTTAAGCATCCTTTTTGTTTTCCTGTTTCCTTTTGCATCATTTTGCTTCTTGTCTTTTTTTAATCATCGTGCTTTCTTATTTGACTTCTTTGTGTCTCTGTGAATTTTTCTTGTCTCCATGTGCATCATTTTGGTCTTTGTGTGTCCTTTTGGGTCCTTTAAGCTTCCACACGTCTCTTCATGCATCTGTTTCTCTCCTTGTGACACCTTATGTTTGTGTTCTTATCTACAATTCATCTTGTGTTCTATTTTGTTTCAGTCTTTTTTGTCTCATGCTATTTTAAAACTTCTTAGCTGTACTATTTTCTCTTTTGATATTTATCTATTTTATCTATTTCAGATATTTTTATATCTATTTTATATTTATATATCTACCAATTTATTTTTCTTGCTAAGCACTTCTGGATAGATGCAAACTGCATTTTGTTGCTTTGTACCTGTGACATGTGCAATGACAATAAAGTTGAATTCTATTCTATTCTATCTTTGTTCAGCTAAAATGAACAAACTTTAAACTTTTTTGGTTAATTTCTACTTTTATGTTGTAGCTACTGTTTTCTTTGTAGCTTTTAGCATTGGCTTTTACTCTTTAAAGGTTTTGCTAAGATATTTTTACCACCTCTGCTATGGTAACAAACTCTGCCTCCTCAAAGGTAGGCATGGACAGGAGATAAGTTCTCCTTCATCTGTCCAACTATATTCCAGGTCCGGTTACAGTCCCCACCTAGCCAGTCAGTCTGGGAAAGGACTTTCTTTCCCACCGAACAGTTTGACAGAACCAAAGGTCCTTCCTCATGAAGGAATCGGCATGCCTGCACCCGTCTTACCTGCTGCCTGCACCCGTCTTACCTGCTGCCTGCACCCGTCTTACCTGCTGCCTGCACCCGTCTTACCTGCTGCCTGCACCCGTCTTACCTGCTGCCTGCACCCGTCTTACCTGCCGCCTGCACCCGTCTTACCTGCCGC